GGTGAACTCATGGATTTAAACATATTTGATATATTCAATCTGTTACAGTTATTACCCTTACTGATGTTCACATTGTCCTGTTTTTGGCAAGGGACCTCTCTAAGTTGGATCCTGAGCCCTTTTGACACAACCCTCGTTGTCTTTGAATGTCTTTTAAGAGAAAATGGCATTTTAAGAGACCACAATCTAGGTGCTAATGATACTTATTACTATTGGCTGATCATTTTTTCTAGGCCTTTAGTCTGGACGGAGCTAGGAAATATAAATTTACAAATTTTAAAGCATTTAAAGATATATCATTGTTGATACTTCCAGTGCTTCCAATTCAAATTCAGGACTATGTGTCCTGCAACCGTATCTGCTTTCACACCTTCTGAGAACCCCAGGTCTCAATCACACTGAGAGTGCCAGAAAGTTCACATAATCACTCATTTATTTTATCTCACAGTACACAACAGTCTCAGAAAAATAACACCAACACTACAACCAACAATATGACAACTAAAAAGCAGTTTAAGATCTTTTCAAATGCTTTTTGTCCTTAGGATATATGTCACTGAGAACGTTCTTAGGATATATGTCACTAAGAACGTTCAGTGAGTTATAACTTTATGGTATAAAGTTACTTGGAATAGTTATGCCATCAGTTTGGCACTTGTTTTCATTTTGTTTTTGATTCGTGGGAATTGCTTTTTAAAATGTAAAATTTTGGGTTTTTTAAAATTAATTAATTTTGTTTTAAAATTATGTAAAAATGTGCAAAATAAGTTATCTTCAAAGAAATTTAGTTTCTATCCTTATCTTCTTTACCCCATTCCCTCCCTCCTCTGTAGGTAACTATTTAAAAACATCTTTTACGGCTCGCTCATTCTTCCTATGTATGTTTTTAAGTGTAAGCAGATGTTTTTATTCCAACACCCTTTGTTAGATAAAAGTTAGCAAATTAAACAGTTTCCTCCACCTTGCTTTTTATTTAGCTTTTAAATTTATTTATTTATTGTTTTGCGGTACACGGGCCTGTGCACTGCCGCGGCCTCTCCCGTTGCAGAGCACAGGCTTCGGACGCGCAGGCCCAGGGCCATGGCTCACGGGCCCAGCCGCTCCACGGCATGTGGGATCTTCCCGGACTGGGGCACGAACCCACGTCCCCTGCATCGGCAGGCAGACTCCCAACCACTGTGCCCCCAGGGAAGCCCCATCTTTTTAAGTTTTTTAAAGATACGAGTTTGTATTAAAATTACAAAAATGTGACATTATTAAGGTATGATTCATGCAAAGTGCCATGTTTCTGAACTAAAATAAATGGATAAGAATGGAACCTAAAGAAGTATTAGACAGTAATTCAATACTTAAGACAATTACAAGTGATTCAGATTTAGTTTAATTTTTCAAAAAGATCATGAAATCGTTTTTGCAAGACTCTTGAAAATGACTCCTACAGAACAAAACGATAGAGAGAAAACATTTCAACAAAACATTTAACAACCACATTGCTCAAGTATTAAGGACAGAGATCTAGAAAGTAATACATATTGATTTACTTTGCATCTTGTAATTACCTCTGCTATCAGTGCTTCTTACTATCATGGAAACTCTCCCACAATAAGCGTACATCACAAACATTTTGTACTTAATTTCACAAGGTCACAGCCCTCCTGAGAGCCTATTCATGGACTTCATTTTCAAAAGTGGTAACGATTTCCAGAAATTGACTCATTTTCTCATATACATCCTAGAAATGCCACCTTCTCACTATCTTCCACTTGTTTTGTGACCAAAAACTACCTAGAATACCAACGAGCACTAACATATCTGGCTTGAAAACATTAAACATTTTTGGATGTTGCTTCCTATCTTTTAAGTACAAAAAAGGCATTTCAATAAAAACAAATATATAATGAAGTCATGTTCCTTTGTGTGAAGAAATATGAATGAACTGTGCATTAATATTTAAAGGCAAAGTAGTTCACTGCCAAAACTTTAAATGTCTCACTTTAAATGTCTCAAGAGCACAACAAATTCTGAACACACTAAGATCATGTTGCTACTTCAATATTCTTGGGAATGGTGAGTGGTCAGTTGGTCTGTGGTTTAGGATCAGTTTCCATGCTTGTTTCTTGAGCTGCTTCTACCTTTGCGGGCTTTTCATAATTTTCCGTTGTTTGATTAAGTTCATGGAGGACAGTAAGAAGAACGTAAAACTGTTTCCTTCTCAATTCCAGCGTATCTTCAACACCTTCTTTAATATGTGAAAGATGCTCTAATTCTTTACGCAGAGCCTCTAGTTCCTTTAATGTCTCACACCTGTCTGGATAATGGTGGATCACTTTTACCAATGCATCATATTCTTGGTGATTTTTTCGTATTCGTTTTGCTTGAAGAATTTGCCTTTTGCACTCAGCAATTTTTTCATGTGCTTCAGCAATGCTACATTCTATTTCTTTGTAAATTTTTTCATAATTTTCCATTTCTCTGAGATTCATATCATATACCCGCAAAGTTTTGCGCATTGAAAATTCACATTGGGACAGCGTGAGCAGCATACGTTGGTACTGGCTGTAGTCCTCTTCCTGGGATCCAGAGTAGCACCATTTAATGAAACTTTTCACTAGCAGATTAATTCTCCGATCATCTCCAGCGCCATCTCCATCAATTAGGAGACGCTTCCGTATGATTTCGTCGTCAGTCACGGACCCCATGGCGTGGGCGGCGGCGGCGGCGAAAGCTGAGGCGGCGGTTGGCGGCGGTTGGCGGGCGACGGAAGTCGAACTCCCACAATGCAGCGGGGTAAACAGTTATGGAGGCGGCGGCGCGTGCGACCGTCCGCTCACACGCCGCCGCCGCCGCCGCCGCCGCCGCCGCCGCCGCCGCCGGCGGCAGCGGCGACCCTGCGCTCCCCGAACTCCCCAGGGGGCGGCCGTTCCACCTTGCTTTTCAAACTTAATATTATATCTTGGAGATTATTCCATGGTAGTAATAATATATAATTTAAAATATGCCTATAAAACTAAATTGATAAATAAAATACTGTAAATTGACATTTGACTATTTTAGCTACTTCCCTAAAAGTTTGGCCTCGAAAACTGTTCTTGAATCTTTTCATTGGGAAAATGGATTGCTTTATGTTCAGGGTTGCCTTATTTGGGAGCATAGGTGGGCAACTATAAAACAGTACAATTGGAACCGGAAGTTGGAAATTTGAGCAGGATCTACAAGGATGGTGAGGATTTGGGTGTGCTGGAGAGTTGGGGAAGGACCTGCTAGATGACCAGACAGTGTGGAATGTGTATGGTGCCTACGGGATCAGAGAGCCTGGCTAGAGCTGCAGGTTTGGTAAAGGAAATTGATTGTCAGGGAAATAATTATTTGAAATAATTCAGGATCTGGTGAGGGTCTTGATAAGGTAGATGCCATTATCTTTGTTCTTTTAACAAAGATTTATTGAGCACCTACTTTGTGAAAAGTCTGCAGGGTGCTGGGGAAACGGGGAAGAAAGATATGGTCTCTCCCTTAAGGAGCAGAGACATTTCATTACTAAGGAGAAATACAGTGTGCTGTGGGGGCATACTAATGGGAGGTAGTCAGGGAAGCCTTCTAAGGAAGTGCGTTTAGGCTGAGATCTATGGGATGATGAATAAGTGTTAGCTGCTGGTGATGGACGTGGGAGTAGCAGGGAGAGGGTGATAGTTCTAGGCCGAGGGGCAGCCCTCAGGGAAGAAAATGAGTGTGGTTCCATAACTGAAAAAATGTCCTCTGTGTTTGAAAGGGCTGGACAGTGGAGGATAGAGAGGATCAGAGATGAGAGTGAATTCGAGAGAAATTGCAAACGAGGACTTGATAAGAAAAAGGAACTGTTTCCTGGAAGGCATATGATAGGCACTCAATACGTGGAATGGATGAATAAATAAGCTTGAGATTTCAAATGTGGACTACGAAGTGATGGAGTCATGGGTAGGAGTAAATAAATGGGCACAGGGTACTAGTCTGGAAGGCAGATTAGTTGGGTTTTAGACACATGGATCTTGAGGCGTGACATTCTGGCCGTTTGTCGAATACCAATCCTCACAGCTTCAGGCTACTGTTGAAATTGTAAGGCTCAAGTGTGGGAAACAAAAGATAGAGTGCTTTTCCTTGGGAATTATGGTTAGAAGAAGGAGATGAGACTTAGGGTGGGACAGAGGAGAAGGGTGGAGAATTTCAAGGACAGAGTGGTAAACAGAGGTCAAGGACACCAGCTTGTACCAAATGAGACAATCTGGTTGACACCACTTGCAAAATGCCAACATGTTATACAGACATATGGGTGGAGTGGGGAGGGGTGGGAAAGGCACGGGATCTGCAGTCACAAGACCTGGACTCAGTCCTCGCTCTGCCTTTTACCATATTTCTGACCTTGGGCAGTAATTACTTAAAGTTTTCTGAGTATCCGGCTGCTTATTTATGAAATGAGAAAGAATGGCTGCCATGTTTGCATCTCAGAGATATTGTGAGATTGAAATTAAAAATATCTGTAAACTTGGGCTTCCCTGGTGGCGCAGTGGTTGAGAGTCAGCCTGCCGATGCAGGGGACACGGTTTCGTGCCCCGGTCCGGGAAGATCCCGCATGCCGCGGAGCGGCTGGGCCTGTGAGCCATGACCACTGAGCCTGCGCGTCTGGAGCCTGTGCTCCGCAACAGGAGAGGCCACAACAGTGAGAGGCCCGCGTACCGCAAAAAAAAAAAAAAAAAAAAAAGTAAAAATATCTGTAAACCATTGGGTTTTCCCCTTCAGTGTTGCATAAAGGGTGTGGCATACACACGGTACTTGAGTGAGTGTTTGTTTGTTTTTTTGGGGGGGCCGCGCAGCATGCGGGATCTTAGTTCCCCAACCAGGGGTCGAACCCATGCACCCTGCAGTGGAAGCGTGGAACCCTAACCACTGGATCGCCAGGGAATTCACTTGAATGAGTGTTTGAATGAATGTAGGGGTATTACTGTGGCTACTAATTTATGTTTCAACAGAGACCAGATGAAGAAGCTGTGGTGGATCAGGGTGGGACCAGTACAATTCTCAACATCCACTATGAGAAAGAAGAGTTGGAAGGTAAGCACTGCTGTTCTGTGTACCGAGGGAAATCAGCAAGAGGCAGCCTGGCGTGGGAGGAGCAGCTTTGCCATCAGGAGACCTGGGCTGGAGTCCTAACTCTTCTTCACTAGCTGTGAGACCTTGGGAAAAAATCACTTAATTTCACTTAGCCTCATTTTCCTCATATGTTAAATAAAAGTAGGGATAATAATACCTGTCTCACTGTTAGGCTCTAGTAGACAGACAGCTGGTGAGACAGTACTTTCAGCACAGTAAAGTCCAATATAAATATTAATAAATGACCTATTCCTTGAGAATGTGAAACACTCAGATCAGTTTATTGATTCTTGGCAACTGCTTGGAAATATAGATACAAATTTATACAAAAGAAAATAAAATACAAATAGTTTAAAAAACTCAGTTTGGCCATAAAACCCTGTTTTTACCCCATTTCCAATGTATGCTCTTCCCATTCTAACAATACCCATTTCTGCCTGGTGTTTTCATCTAAACAAGAAAAGGGAAAACACACACGCACCTATATAACATATTTGGTGAGAGCTCACAGCATAGAGTTGTATAAAAACCCACTGAAGTGGAAGGGAAGGAAGAGGCCTTTTAATTGACCTGCTCTATCTAGTTTACCTTATTAAGGCTCTTCTTCCTTTCTCTCCTCTCCCACCCCCACTCCCCCCATGACCCTTTTGTGCTGTCCTTCTGCTTTCCTTTTTCCCACGGAGCCTAGTTTCCTGATAATGATGGCAATGCTCAGTTTTATTAAAGAAAGGCTCGCGTCCTCTATAGCTTGAACGAGAACCCACATTTGGCTCAAAAGCCTTTGTGCAATCTCTGCAGCATCTCCTGCAACGTTGAAGGCTATGATGCAGTAACTTTCTAATGACTGAGACAGCGCGTGAAGTGTCTCTCTGTACTGCTTGTTCCTGTGCTGTTTTTTTTTTCCATCAAAGTTGTACAGTCCCCAGAGAAAACTTGTCCTTTGGATGGGAGAGCCAAAGCTGTAGAGGCTGACTCATCCTCTGGGTCTGTTACCATGAGAACTTATGTGGGTGGCTCTGTGGAGGTCAGTGGAGTTCAAACATATCAAGGTCGAGCTTTCGAAGTTATTTTGACCAGATGGAAGAGGAGCCAGTGTGGGTTTCAGCAGTTGGGAGAAAGGGGAAGAAGGAGGGGTGTGGAGGTGGGAGGCTAACATTTGTTGAATGACCCTTGTGTGACAGGCATTCGATTAGGCACTTTGCACAAGTCGTCTTTTTAATCTTCACAGCAACCCAGGCAGGTAGGCATCATCCCTATCTTACGTGATGGGGAAACTGCTCAGGGTCATCTAGCCTAACAGCAGGTGAGGCTGGGATGGAATTCTGCTCTTTCCACTCTGCCACACTGCCTGCAAGGGAGGACGGTACCCAGCATTAACCACCTAACCTCAGCTTCTTGCTCCATCATACGAACATTTTTATGTGTTGCCCCACCCCTCCTTCTGCCCTGATAATCCTATTGCCTCCCTACCGTCTCACTGTACCGTGGGGGTACTTTTACTTTTAGTTTAGTTGTCTGGGCCCACTAGACCTTTGCCCTCAGCAAAGAGGTAACCATTTATGAACACTCTTATCTACTTGGGAGTAGAATAATAAGACTGGGCAAACACTCTTGGATCCCGAGGACTGGGTTCCATCACAGAGGTCAGCTGAGTAATTGGCAGTAGGAGCATCTTCTCAATATGACATCATCTATTCCTTACGTAGTATCCATTTTCCTGTAAAAGAAGGCCGTCTGTGATGATGGCATTGCTAGGGGAAAACAGTCCTTTATACATAGACCTTTTGGAAAACTAGAATCTTATTTATGTTATAGCACTTAAAAAAAAAAAAGCACTACAGGCAACAGAGGACATGGAGTACCCACGCCTCAGGCCTGATGTAGTTCTCAAGTAGCTCTGGAGACAAGAGGAAGTTGGGATTTGCTGGAGGATCGGCTATGCTGTGGGCCCCGCCCTGACTCATCCCGAGGGCAGCCCTAGGGCTCAGTGAGGCTGCACTCAGGGAAGTGCTGTCTCTTGAAGGCGTGGAATAAAATCAGTCCCACTCTGATGGAAGACAAGTAAATTGTTCTAACTGTGTTCTGATTTGCCATGTGTGCCATGATACAAGGTTCTGCGGCTGCAGATAAAGCTCTGGGTCTTCCTTCCCCTTTGTTCTATACCCTCTACACCACGTGACATAAACCACTTTGAGAACTACTTCTGAGAGGTAGTCTCTGGACATTGTTAGAGACTTGTAAACGTGGTTTTTTGGGCAAAAATTAACTCCATCAGCAGGAGAAGGTGCATTAAACCATAACATCGCTTTTTTTACATACATGGGAAGAATCAAAAGCAAACAGTAGGACAGATTTCCGAAGAGAAACTCGCAAAGAGCAATGGTCCATGATTGCTTCAGTGGACTCTCCCGGTCCCAGAAGAACACCGAGCAGTGGCTTTAATTAGAGGAATGGCTTTTTCCGTCTTTTCTGGCAGGTCATTATTCCTGATTAACTACTAGACTAATGAATCCTAGAGTAAGTTTGGTGCCTTCTAATAAGTTTTCAACAGAGGTAAGAGCCATTTGGCCTTAGTTATAAGTTGAAAAAAAAAGGCTTGCATGTGCTCCACATGTTAGACTCCCCCCGCGGTTCCTGACTTTGTGTCAACTTGAAGTCCAGGGCTTGGGACACCCGTCTGTCCGTGTGAGCTAGCGAGCTCTGTGCGCATGCTTGATAAACAGTGTGCTCGGAATGTACTCCGCCTCGGAAGGTCCAGGTTCCATCTGCAGGGTGGGCTCCCCCTGTGATTTCTGTCCTGCTCTGCAAGGTTCCATCCCAGTTCACTAATGATTGCTCTCTGTACGTGTGTGCATACTTATTTAAAAAATAAATTCTAAAATTACATCTTCTAATAAGTTTTTACTAAATGAATACTTGTATTTGCACACAGTCCCCAGAGGGTAGGTTTGACAATAACTGGAAAAAAGACTGGAAAGAAGGCAGAATTTAGGTGAGTAGGTAGGTAGATGAGGGGGATGAAGACTGTGTGGGCAGGAGAGCAGTTGAAAGGCCAGCAAAGAGACCACAGGATTGGTTTAGTAAAGTCGTTGGGCTGCAGAATCCCGTTAGATGGACTGGATTTTATTGGTGCTGTATTCATTTCCCAGTGTCTATTTGTTTGTCTTCTTTTTTGATTTCACTCAGAATATCCAAGTCCCGGCTTCCAAGTCTCCAGCCTAGAAACTGATGCCTAGTTTTCTGATAACCACTTGGTCATTCTTAGCTCTGTGTCCTGCTGGGGCTTGTTTTCATTTTTGCCTGTCTCTCTGGTGTTTTCAAAAGGCAGGTGCTGTGGTTGGCTAATGTTTGTGGGAACTGATTGGACCAAAAAAATTTCTTAGAGAAGGAAAAGTCTTCCTTGGTAACTCTTTCCAAAAGTCCCCTTATCCGGGAACTCTTCCTGGAATAAGCTCTCCATCCTCAGGCTGGCTAGGACCTTCTCAATCATCCCATGCCCTGGTGAGTATTTCATCCACTCGAAACACATTCACTTTGGTTACATGTTCCTGTTGTGACCCCTTTCAGATCAGAGGCCTTCTTAGTTCAGGTTGTGTACTGCTGAGGGGATCCTAAGGGGTTATGTTCCTGCTGGAGGCATCTAGGAGGTATTCCATTTTCTGAATATTTGTGGAGTAATGACCACGTGGAAGATACCGTGCTTTGTTATGTGAGGGATTCCAGCAGGAAGAAGGTCTGACCTGGGACTTGGAGAAGCTTGCAGATGAATAGCGGGAGAAAGACTGATAGATGCCTAACTTTAATGCAAGGCATAAGATAAGTTCATAAGAGAATGCTAGCCAAGGACTCAGGGTTGACAGGAAGGAGGCAGCACCTCTGATCGGGGGATCAGCAAGAATACCAAGAAGGAAGGTGCATTTGCAATGAATCTTGAAGGAGTGAGGCAAGTCAGCATCCGAAAGCATTGGTGCATCTGTGGAAGAGCAGTTTGGTTTAGGTGGATGGGAGTGTGAGGTGAGGGTGGGATCGTCAGCTGAGGCCATGAGGAGGAGACGGAGTCAAAACCAGGCTGTGGGGCTTCCCTGGTGGCGCAGTGGTTTGAGAGCCCGCCTGCCGATGCAGGGGACGTGGGTTCAAGCCCTGGTCTGGGAAGATCCCACATGCCGCGGAGCAGCTGGGCCCATGCGCCACAACTACTGAGCCTGTGCTCTAGAGCACGTGAGCCACAACTCCTGAGCCCGCGTGCCACAACTACGGAAGCCCACGTGCCTAGAGCCCGTGCTCCGCAGCAGGAGAGGCCACCGCAATGAGAAGCCCGCGCACCGCAACTAAGAGTAACTCCTGCTTGCTGCAACTAGAGAAAGCCCGCGAGCAGCAGTGAAGACCCAGTGCAGCCCAAAATAAATAAATAAAATAAAATAGTTTATTAAAAAAAAAACACCGGGCTGTTCTCGTGTTGTTGGTATAGATGCAGAAGGTGTACATGTCTAGATTTTTTCCCCCCAGAACATTTATCTGGTGTGAGCATGTGTGGGATTTCCACTTTGATCTCTCTTGAGATGATCACTCAGTTCTTTTAGAGAGCTTTCCCTTTGTTTCCCTGTTGAATGTATAATTGGTTCTAGAGGAAGAAAAAACTAGAAAGGAGGCTGGGGCCCGAGCATGCTGGAGCATGAAGGGTCCTGACTATAAGAGTGAGCTGTGATCAGAGCAGTGCTTCCGGAGGATTTGTTTGTAGGATCGAATTGGTGGGGGAGGCAGGAAGGAGGCCCCTGCTGTTGTCAGAGTGGGAGGAGAGAAAGACTTGACATCTCTAATCTATGGGATGGAGTGCTGAGGGGCAAGGTGGAAATCCAAGGTAATGCTGAGGTTTCAAGCCTGGAAAGTTGAGAGAATGCCATGAACAGAAACATAGAAGAAGTGAGTATGAGTCTGATTTCAGGTGGAGGATGGTGAGTTTGCTTTGGAACATATTGAGTCACTGGAGATAAAGATTTGGGGATCATTTGCAGAAGTAAACTTTGAAATCAGGAGAGCAAATATCACTAAAAAGAGAGAAGAAAGGGACCAAGGACAGAAACCCGGGGAACCCTCCTTTGGTGGATTGTGGTAAGGCTGGAGAAGCAGTCAGAGGAGTGCAAGTGAGCCAGGGAAGGCCGTGGTACAGGTATGGGAGAAGCCCAGACCACCACGGGGAGGAAGTAGTCGAGGGATGGGGCTGCCGGCTGGAGCATGGTGGGCTCTCCAGAGAGTCTTTTGAATTGAACTGAGAGAGACGTAAGATGATAGAGGTTTGGTGATTTAGTGGCTTTGGCGTCCCTGATGAGGGTAGTTTCAGTGGAGAGCGGCCACGTGCAGAGGCTGTGGAACAAGGGGATGGTGAGGAAAGGGAGGTAGGTCAGCACACTGTTCTTGAACATGACTTAATGGAGAAGGGAAGGGGACAGGCAGAGACTTGGGAGAATAGCACTGCACTGGGAACATTTCTTTTTTATTTTTATTTTAAAATATTTATTTATTGAATGAAGGATTCTTCAAATTGTTATAGTGTGCAAAAGTTTCACACACATGATTTCATATAATCCCATAATAACCCTTTTTTCTCCCTACTCCTATATTGCCTATCCCTCCTCCCCGCCCCGCACCACTGGTAACCACTGGTTTGTTCTCTATATCTGTGAGCCTGCTTCTTTTTTGTTTTATTCACTAGTTCGTTGCATTTTTTAGATTCCACCAATAAGCGATATTATAGAGTATTTGTCTTTCTCTGTCTGATTTATTTCACTTAGCATAATGCCCTCCAAGTCCTTCCATGTTGCTGCAAATGGCATTATTTCATTCTTTTTATGGGTGAGTAGTATCCCATGGTATATATGTACCACATCTTCTTCATCCATTCATCAGTTAATGGACACTCAGTTTGCTTCCATATTTTGGCTATTGCAAATAATGCTGCTGTGAACATTGGGGTACATGTATCTTTTCGAATTAGTATTTTTGTGTTTTTCAGATCTATACCCAGGAGTGGAATTGCTGGGTCATATCATATGGTAGGAATATTTCCTTTTTAGGTAAGAGGGACTTGAGAAACCCGTGGAAGGGATGGATGGAAAGGAGAGTCTGAGTATAACTGATGAAGTGGGACCCAGTGGGGTGGGAGGCGGTGCTCATTAGCCTGGAAAAGAGGAAAAGCTGGAGGAGGAAAGTGAGCCTGACTGAGAATGGAGGGAGTTCCCAGGACAGGGCCTGTCTTTTCAGTACAATATGAAGCAAGGTCACCTGCTCAGAGGAAGTGTGGGTGCGGTTGTCGATTTGAAGACAGTGACTAAAGACTGTAACAGCTCCTGTGGTGGAAGATGTGCGGGGGCAGCCTGAGATCCAGAGTGTCGAGCAGCAGTAACTGGGCAGAAATGGGGGAAGATCACTGCTCTGTGTATCCAGGTGTAGCAGCCCTGCAGCTACTGCTTCTGGGCTCCAGGCTCACCAGGAAGACCGGGGAAACCAGGTGGAGGTGAGAGAGGCCTAAAAGTCAGGCACAAACCAAAATAATGTTTATGGATGGAATGAGAGAGTAGGAAGGAGGAACTAGAGAGGAACACTATGGGATCACTTACTTTCTTGTGTTCCCCTCTTTTTGTAAAATATTTAATCTCTCTCCCTCATGCTCCCAGCCTTATGCCCCTTATGATTTGTAACTAGTCTCTCACTGCTATTCTAGATGGTGCAGAAAAAATATAATGGAAACTGATCCTGGAATTTACTGGCTGCTAAAATTGATTCCAGGCATCGTGTTAAGCATTTTACGTACATTTCTTATTTGCTTCTCACAAAAATCTTCTGAGTTTAAAGAATAAGCTTCAGTATTCCTTTTTAAAGACGGTCACAGAGGGCTTCCCTGGTGGCGCAGTGGTTGAGAGTCCGCCTGCCAATGCAGGGGACACGGGTTCGTGCCCTGGTCCGGGAAGATCCCACATGCCGCGGAGCGGCTGGGCCCGTGAGCCATGGCCGCTGAGCCTGCGCGTCCGGAGCCTGTGCTCCGCAACGGGAGAGGCCACAAAAGTGAGAGGCCCGCGTACTGCAAAAAAAAAA